TCAAGAAGCATAACAGAAGGTCAAATACAAATAAATCTATGATGGCGAGTATTCTTTGATGTATTTGAAAATCTCTATAAAAGTGATCTTACAAGTGATAGCTTGAAAATAAGTTTACACTAAAACTTTAGGAGATTTGCATTTTCTAGCATTTCACTTATTATTTATAAGTCATTGACTTTTATTTGCAATGCAACTTATTATTTTAAATTTTTTATATCTATGATGGGTTAGAAAAAGAAGTCTGTTGAGCTAATTGTGCTTATTTATACTTTTTGATAATCCAGGGAAAGGTAAAGGCTCAACAAAGTATAAATGTGTAGAAATAGGATCTTCTAAGTCTATGTGTTAAAGATGACATTTTGTAATCCAACATTTAATCATTTTGATGTATAGACTTCTTTGATATATATATATATATATAGATTTTGATGAAATGGAATGTGTTTGCGCCGCTTTATTAGTTGAATTTTACAATAGCTCTGATTTTTTTGGTTAATGGTTAAGTAGTAATATTATTGGTTTAAAGTTTTAATCCTTCCATTACGTCCAAAGGCATCACATGGCCTACTAATGAAAGAGTAAGATTATCATCATCCATAAATATAGTTATCTAAGTCCTAGGTATGAATTCTCTCGTAGTTATTTAATGTGTGTGGATGACTATTGAAACTAAGTACAAAAGTATTTAGATTTTGGTTGAATGTTTCCTAATTATTTAAAGAGAAAAATATAGGAATTTGATTGATTTTACATCAACCAATAGAACAAAATAAACAACGCAATAAGAAGGGGAAAGTTTGAGTTCACAAATTCAATGGCCATGCTCTTAGTAAACTTATTGTCAAGCATTGGCTTCCCATGCAAAACTTGAGACTTCAAAGCTTTGAACAGTCTTAAGAGCATAAGGTGAATTTGAATGGACCCACCAAAGATGTATGGTCCAGATTGTACTGCACCGTAGTTGGAGAGCTGCTATAAACAGCACATTGGCATAAGATACATTTAAACGGGAGCAAAAATTTGCAGGCAATAGTAGCTTTCAAACTTAATTTTATCAACAGTTTTTCATCAACAGCTGTGACCCATATGAAGCCTTTGGCTCAACATGACTCTTAAAAAGAAAACGATGAAATTTCTCTAGTAAATAATCTGGAAGCTAGAAGTTGAGACAGGTTGGGAGGAGCCAGAACCTGGCTAGTTCTGATTTATAATTTCTAGAGTTAGTATTTCCACTACAGAACAGTCAAATATGACATTATCTAAACTTTGGTTTGCATGCATTGACTGATTTCACAAATATCAACGGTTATAGAAGCTATTTTTAAATATAAGTACTTATTTATCTTTCTTCTGCCTCCATTCTATGGATTTCAGGGGTATGAAAAATTAAGTCTATTCATACAAAGTAAGCACTCTCTGCATGTAAATCGATAAAAGCCTGCATAACCACAAGATCACCAGCTTTCCCAAATTCAGCCAAATTCTGCTGCAAAAATCTTCAGCTGATCAATTCTTACCAAGAGCTAATTAATAGTAAGCTATTACAACAACAACAACATCATCAAGCCTTTGTCCTACTACGTGGGGTCGGCTAAATGAATCCTTTTTCTTCATTGTGTCCTGCTAAAAGTCAAATTCTCATTTAAATCTAATAAAGAAAGATCATTTCTAATATTTTCTAACCAAGTCTTTTTAGGTCTACCTCTACCTTTCTTAACATAAGTCGAATCTAATATCTCAACTTTCTTAACCGGGTCATCGGGAGGCCTCCGTTTAATGTGACCAAATCATCTATACGTCCAAAGGCATCACATGGCCTACTAATGAAAGAGTAAGATTATCATCATCCCAAACCTGTTAACGGCGAATGGCGCACCATGGCGCAAAGGTCCATTTGGAGCCATGGCGCATAGCGCACGGCGCGGCGCGCGCTAGCTATTTTGAACATGGCGCAAGCTATATAAAAATTATAAAATAATAAGCATGAATATGAAATATTATTAAAAATGAAAGACAAGCTATCATAATAATAAAAGAAAACCATAACATATATAAATTCGACTAAGTAACATTCAAATATCTCATAATTAAAATACTACAATCTTTTTTTTAAAAGATCAAATAAGAATTTAATTTACTCTTCTTGGGAATCATCATCATCAGCAAATGTTAAAAAAGCTTCATTATCTTCTTCAACATTGTCTCCTACTTCATAATCCTCTTCATCACCCTCGATACCGCTACTTCATAATCCTATAAAAACTGAATCTGACATTTTATGATCACCTAAAAGCAAACAAATTTAGATAAAAGAAATATACTATTGTCCAAAAAACATAATATGGGGGCTGTCGGGGGTCCAAGGGGATGCTGCCCCCTGGCGGGGTTCGACATGAGAGAACAAAATTTATTTGTAAGAGAAATTTTGAAGTTCGTTTGTATGGAAATTAGGGAGCGGTACCGAGCGTGTACCTAGTTGTACCGAGTGGTACAAAGCATGTAACTAGCGGTACCGAGCATGTACCGAGCGGTACCGAGCATATACATAGCGGTACCGAACGGTATCATGCATGTACTTAGCAATACCGAGCATGTATCTAGTTGTACTGAGCTGTATCGAGTGGTACAAAGCATGTACCGAGCGGTACCGAGCGGTATCATGCATGTACTTAGCGATACCGAGTGTGTACCTAGCAGTACCGAGCGTGTACCTAGTTGTACCGAGCAGTACAGAGCATGTAACTAGCGGTACCGAGCGGTATAAAAAATATTCAGAAGTATACCAAAATTTAAAAACAATTTAGCGCGCTATTTTGCGCCGTGCGCAATGCGTCATGGCTCACATGTGGCGCAAATAGCGCGCGGTATTTTAAACACATGCGCCTCGCCATGAACATGGCACCGTAGGTGCGCCGCGCCGCGCCGTGCGCCATGGTGCACGCTATTTTGCGTCATTGACAGCTATGCATTATCCATAAATATAGTTATCCAAGTCCTAGGTATGAATTCTCCAGTAGTTATTTAACGTGTGCGGATGACTATTGAAACTAAGTACAAAAGTATTTAGAATTTGGTTGAATGTTTCCTAATTATTTAAAGAGAAAAATATAGGAATTTGATTGATTTTACATCAACCAATAGAACAAAATAAACAACGCAATAAGAAGGGGAAAGTTTGAGTTCACAAATTCAATGGCCATGCTCTTAGTAAACTTATTGTCAAGCATTGGCTTCCCATGCAAAACTTGAGACTTCAAAGCTTTGAACAGTCTTAAGAGCATAAGGCGAATTTGAATGGACCCACCAAAGATGTATGGTCCAGATTGTACTGCACCGCAGTTGGAGAGCTGCTATAAACAGCACATTGGCATAAGATACATTTAAACGGGAGCAAAAATTTGCAGGCAATAGTAGTTTTCAAACTTAATTTTATCAACAGTTTTTCATCAACAGCTGCGACCCATATGAAGCCTTTGGCTCGACATGACTCTTAAAAAGAAAACGATGAAATTTCTCTAGGAAATAATCTGGAAGCTAGAAGTTGAGACAGGCTGGGAGGAGCCAGAACCTGGCTAGTTCTGATTTATAATTTCTAGAGTTAGTATGTCCACTACAGAACAGTGAAATATGACATTATCTAAACTTTGGTTTGCATGCATTGACTGATTTTACAAATATCAACGGTTATAGAGGCTATTTTTAAATATAAGAACCTTATTTATCTTTCTTCTGCCTCCCTTCTATGGATTTCAGGGGTATGAAAAATTAAGTCTATTCATACAAGTAAGCACTCTCTGCAAGTAAATCGATAAAAGCCTGCATAACCACAAGATCACCAGCTTTTCCAAATTCAACCAAATTTTGCTGCAAAAATCTAGCTGATCAATTTCTACCAAGAGCTAATAGTAAGCTATTACAACAACAACAACATCATCAAGCCTTTGTCCTACTACGTGGGGTCGGCTACATGAATCCTTTTTCGTCATTGTGTCCTGTTAAAAGTCAAATTCTCATTTAAATCTAATAAAGAAAGATCATTTCTAATATTTTCTAACCAAGTCGTTTTAGGTCTACCTCTACCTTTCTTAACATAAGTAAAATCTAATACCTCAACTTTCGTAACCGGGTGATCAAGAGGCCTCCGTTTAATGTGACCAAACCATCTAAGGCGACTCTCTAATCTTATCTTCCACTGGAGTAATAGTGAGCTATTAAGGATGGCAAATTGGTATAACTTCACAACTAATGAGAAGGTTGATATAAAAATTGAAGCAAATTTCTTATAGGTACTACAATGCAGAAAGACAATGGATAGGACACCAAGAAGCAATCCCAACAATCAACATGCTCAACGAGCTGAATAATCCACCAAGGCTCAAAAAAAATTATAACATATTAACCAAAATTTGTAGAGATTTAAAATTCATGTAAATCTAAGACACCTATCTCTAAACTTCTTGATGGTATACAAAAAAATTTGGGTTAAACCACAAGCACTGATGGAGGCGCTCTGTATAGACAGCCACACGGCAAAGGCCTAACATTTTTTTTTTTTTTGGCTCACTTCCAAGAACACAGGATGAGCCATATTATGGAGTAGGCAAAGTTTGAACACAAGACCTTCACAATTACATTTAAGGGCCTTACAAGTAGACTAACTAGCACCCATAAAATGAAGATCAAGAGGGTGCAACATGAGGACTTCCTAAGAGATCATCCATCTTAATACTATTGTCACCTAAACGTGCTCAATTGTGCAGTTCTGATAGGATTCAGTGTATTAGTGTTGGGATGGTCACACCCGAATGATGACCTAACTAGAGCTATCACCAAGTTGCTTATGGTTGGACAATCATTATAGGGCCGACTCATAAGACCACATTTAAAGTGAGAAGTACTGTTTTCCAAATAAAAAAATTATGCATAGGCATGGAATTATGCATGTGCCAACATCCGCACTTTGGCTGGTTGAGGTGAACAGCCGAAACTTGCCATACCTGTTCTCCGGTTTCAATATCATACGAATTATGATGCTCAAACTGGAGGCCGCTGAACTCATTAATGCAAAGGCCCTGAAACGCCCTGAAAATAGATCTTCATTACTTCATAAATCCCTATGCAAATGTAAATAAGAAAGGGTGATCACCAAAATAAATAAATTTGGAGAACTACCATCTAATAAGAGAAATATGAGGAATCCATTTGAAGATCACAGGAGTATTTTCAGCATTTACATAATAGCCTCCAAAGACAATGAATACAGTCATAAGTGATGGCCCCACCGCCATTGCTGCTTCAGTTGTTGGAACCATGGCTCCAACAGTTAGGCCCATTGCTGATGCAGCAAATGATTCCATTGTGATGATGCCACAAAATTTTGCAAATCTGAAATAAAATATTTTGATTTTAAAATCTTGGAAAAAAATAAAAGAACTAAATAGTATAGATCGAAGCTGATTCACATGTATTTTCTTTTTTATTTATTGTCCTCCAGTGCGCATGTGCATGCATTGGAGGGTTTAATAGGTGCCTTCATTCGAAGATTTCAGCATGCAAATCTGACTAATCAACAGAAGTTATGATTATGAAGAAATTGGATCGGGTTATCCTTGTCAAAATTTGATTAGAATTTAGAATGGATTTTTAAAATCATTGGATTTGATTTAGGATGAGTATAAAATATGACTAATCAATCAATTATTATATTGTGTTTCACCTAAAAAAAATTTAACATATTTCAAATTCATCCAAACCAAAATTTAATTAGAATAACCTTACCTTTTTTTTCCCGATAAGAACCACAACGAAGCCTGCATTTTTTAAGTTTTATGAGCAGAAGTTCACAAGCACTACTCAAGTATGATCTTTAAGAGTTTGCTTGGTCAACGAGATAGGGTGGAGACTACATTCATAACAACTAACAGTATAAAATTTTGTGTTTTATGCACTTTATTTTTCCACTTATTTGCTCTCAGTAATTTGAATCAGGACTTTACTAATTTACAAAACAAATTTCACAAAGCTTTCATAGAAACTTGCCAAACTTTTCAATCAATCAAGTTACACAAAAACTACCAGCTAACATGCTCATGCATAACTAGTTTTTGTTCCAAATTCTTGGTAAATCTCTGCTTTAAAATACATGAAATTATAGCTGTAAATGCCACATGAAGCAAAAAGAGACTCACCTAGATAGAGAAGGATGAAGACGAGCCATAGGATATAGGAGTGTGCCAAACATCAATGGAAAAGCTGCTCCTATGGGGATTTCAGCAAGCAATTTAGATAGTAGATATGGTCCCATAGCATAGGATCCTTTTTCATGTTCTCGATCTATGATTGTCCGTTCCTTAGGAAATACGCTTACAGTTTTTGTCAGTGCTGCCATCGCTGTGTTTATGGCAGCTACCTATATAAAACGGTAAATATTAAATAAAATTCCACTTAAAAATACATCTTCATTGTACATCTTAAATGTATTGACTTGCATTACCTTTAGAACACCCATGATAACTATGAAATAGCAGAATATTAATCATAACATGTATTGGCTTACAAGTTTTACAGAAGGACCTAATCCATTATGAAAACGTCATTTTTTAGTGGATGAACCATATTTAAATAAGAATAAGTGTCTAGTTATATGTATAAAACCAAATTTTCAAGGCCCAATAAAGCACAAAAAAGATCAGCAATAACGGACAAAAATGGAGAATGTCTCATTGACCAATCTAACAATGGTTTTAGTGCAGCAGCAGACTAAGGGAACTTATTATATAATAGATGAAATAGTATGTGAAACTGAAGTGCTCTTAATTTAAAACAAAGATTGCTAACCATCAAGTTAGACTAAAAATTCATAGCGGATTCCCATTGTAGTATTTATGGGTTCACCGTAGTACCTTTTGCTATGGAACTTCAGATGCCACCGTATTACAGTAGAAACACTTGGATAGCTCGTGTCAAATCATGCAAGAGAATTACATACGCTCAAGGAATCACAATAATCAGACTAGTTGAAACTCAGATCATCAAGAAAAAGATGAAAGGACAATAAAAAGGATGTAAAATGAGGTGCATTAATCAAGGAAGAAACCAAGGTGTTGCAACACAGATCAGGACCAATGATGGGAGTATAAAGTACAAAGAGATATAGTTGAGAGAGGTTTCTCTGAATGTCAAGTAGAATGAAATCATGCTTGGGCTTCTCATTTTTTCTTGAGAGTAAGCTGGCTTTCTTTCATTGCGAATAGTCAGTCGGAGAATAGAGTTCTGACTTTGAAACTCTATTCTCGTTCCCCAGTGATCCTATTTATAGCACCAACTTGAAATTTCAGCCAAAAGATTTCTTTTTTCACATCTTCATAAGCATGGCATAATGACACTATGCTCTTAAAACTGCTTTAAGGGTCCTTTGTATGACACATGGCAAACTATTGGTGGCAGCAGCACGCAGAAAGCTTCCTTAAACTGCCTAGTCCTGAACATTTTTAGAATGTGCCTAAAACTGCCTGAGAACTATATGCTCAACACATGGCAACATGGCGGAGCTACAGTGGGAGCCTTGGGGGCACGGCCCCCACTGGCCCATTAAGAAAGCCCAAAATAATTAACAATATTACTTCACTTATGTGCCGACAGCCCACCGGCCCATCAAAGAAAGTCCAAAATATGCCTCCACTGAGATTCAAACATAAGGAGCTCTCATCCGTTTTGCCAGAAACGGAAATTGTGAATGTAGGACTCAGTTTTATACGTAAATTATAAAAAAAGTTATATTAAAATATTCCTAATTTCTTGTTTTGATCATTCATGTAGATATTTTTAATGAATAAACTTATTACATATGATATAATTTTCTAATTAATAACTTTATTCATAAAAGTTATATTAGAAAAATTTTGATATTTTTGAAAGATCAAATATTATTTCATTGTTAACTAAGCATGTTGGATGATCTAGTTAAATCAGATTGTGTCATAAGTCGGATGTCCTCTTCAATAAGCATGTTCTAAAATTAAAGAAACCAAGGATATACATGCCTGAAGAAGTCCCATTCTATCTTGTATTGATGTTTGTGATCTTCCCATCCGCCAAAAAACAGATCCAAATATAATTGCAGATGCAACAGACATTCTTGTCCTGACTTTATTTGTAGGCCCATCGCGAAAAGCCTAAGTACAAAAACATTGAACTCAAAACAAGTAGTTATGCATAAAAGTAGTTAAAGGATAGTTCATAGTTATAAAATCTTACATTCGCTCTAATAAGTTTAAAAAACAGCTGCCATAAACTCCTACCACCCCCTTCATCCCTCCCCACCCACCATTTTAGTATACTATAACAATGTAAATAATTTTTATTTTATGCTAGGAAAAAAAATAATAAATAGTTCTAAGAAAAAGGTAATGATAAAACCTGCATCCATGCTCGTTTAAGGAGCAATCGGAACTGTTTCCACCATCCAGCTTGATGTTTGGTTAATGCTTTTCGAGCAAACTTTGTTTGAATTTTGGAATTCTTCCAAGCATCAACTGGACTTACACATTCAATTACGAGAACATTCTCTGAAAACTCAGCAACAAATTTGTCAATCCTTGCTTGAGAAGAATGTACACTTTCAGCGGAGCTATAATCAACTGATATTAGATCAGCCAGGAACTCCGCAGGGTTCATATGATCTGGACATTCGTAACTGATATAATAGGTTCTTTCACTCATTAGTAACTATATTAGAGAAATGCAACAAAGCAAAAATAAAAAATAAAAAATTTATGAGAAGAATGAGCGGCTGATACCGGTATGGTGGTATGTTGATAAACAAATAGAGTAATGAGATTTTGAGCCTAGAAGCAATACTTATGGACAAAAGTAAAGGCAATTCCTTATCAACAAACTGCAATGAGCAATTTGAAGCCAATTGTGAGAGTGGATGATTGTGCAATAGCAAATGATACAAGACCGTGGCCGACTCATTCTTAATGTGATATATATGAGAGCAACATAATTTACAGTTAGGTTATGTTTTGTTTAGACCATGTTTCATGTTAGTTTTTTTCCTAATCGTTCATGATTATTTTGTATGATGACATGATAGTATTCTGTTTTTTGTACATATACTGTAAAATAATTTTGTTGACTTGTTCATTTTATGGATAATACTTCTTTCATAATTTACAATTATGATTTGTTTCCTGTTAGTTTTTTCACCAATCGTCTATGTTTATTTCATATGATGACATGATAGTACTTTTCTTTTTTCATAATTGATTTTGTTGTCATGAGAATTATTGCCGAGAGAACTACCGCAAACTTTGACGAGTGAGGTTATTACAGAGGACAGATTGTGAAGAAGGAAAAACAGAGATAGCCTAGAGAGAAGATAGAAAAGATATGAAACAGTAACTCAACGGACAGAAAGATTAATCTTCATTGTATTCTCTAATTGTCCATTACACTTGAAGGTTTATTAAATCCCAAAAAGTCTCTAATACATCGTATAGAAGAAAATGGAGTTCTAGCACACATAGGATCATGAAAATTTCCATGTAACCAAATCTTCCATGCCAACCTTCCACTGTAGCAAACTACTAGAAGACGAGGAAGTGGCCAAATGTTGGCTCCTGAGGGGTAGACAGTTACGACTACAAGTCGATAGTTGAGAAGATAACATATACTGATCAATCATAGTCTTTTGGAGTTGTCAATGGGCTGTTTGTGCAGAGGTTGTAAAACACCAAAAGGTTATCAGCTTGAACGATTATCATCGGATGGAAATAGTAGATCAATCCTCAAGGTGAAATTAGACATGGAGTAATACTGACTCAACATCCTTGAGCATTGTCCTAAGAAGGCTGAGTTGTTGACTTCAAGCAACTACACATGTTATGGATTCTGCAAAGCTTTAATAAGTATTTCTCAGATGTCCTTAGGAATAATGAGTGTATCATAAATGCTTAGCAATGCAGGTAATTTGTGGAGATAGGCTAAGACATTGTAATTCATAGTTACATTAGCAGTCTTGAATTTAGGTGAATCTTGTGGCATAATAGCTTCATTGAGTTGAATATTTTGCTGCTAATCTTTTACTTTCTTTGGTAGTGGAGGAATAATTTTCACTTCATAGTTAAATCTATGTCACATCTTTAGATGAACTACCCTCAACATGAGAGTCTTTTGTATTTGCCACATTTTCAGATTCTTCAAAATCTGAGCTACTTCCAAGCCTTAGGCATTTATCTTTAAAAGTTATTTTACTTTTATTATCATTTTCATCAATAGAAACATAGAGCTCTTCATGTGAGTCAGTGATCGGCGATGTTGAGCGACACGTTTCCTTATAATAAGTTTTTAAATTCGTCTTGTGGATATCAAGAGACACACCTCGTCTTCTTGCAGCCTTTCCACCTCATTGAATTATAACTTTACAGATTTCCATAAGAATGTTATTTTCTTCCTCCAAATTTGAGTTAAGTTGCAAGTCAACTATATATTTTTCCAATCTAACAAGGAGTTTAGAAGGTTGTAGATATTAATTAACATAGTCAATGTTTTGTTGAATTCCAGTCTTCTGCTTCACCGATTTCTTCTTTTTTCTTCAATACCTTGATGCAGAATTGTGCAGTCCTCATTGGTCTTAATAATATTTCGAGGATTCTTTTTATTTGGCACGGGCTCCTCTGTAGCCCGATTCTTTGAAAAGAGTCTTGAATCAACTTCCAACTCTAAAACACTCTTTTGACGAATACCTTTGATAGCCAACAAGACCTTCATCATTTGCCTGGTCTTTTTCGAAATGAAGGTATCCAAACCACCTTCATCTTGTTGTGTTCTTCTCCCTCATCTTCTTTTGCACCATGGCATGGAATGGAAGAAATAACATTAATCTTTTTCCTTTTGGGATTAACCAAAACACTGTCTAATAGGATGAGATCGTCATTTCAGAAACTTTTTTCAACGCAATCTTAGAATACGAAGCAATCTTCGATTGGGTGACTAAGATTGCATGACTAACGACCCTCTGATATGAGTAGCAGTTTGGATCGTTAATCATATCAGCTTATTCTGGTCGGCGAGACTTTGGTAACTGTAAATTGATTTTAATTGCATGTCGGAAAATCTTCCCAATGCATTCTTTCTTGAAAAAATATGACCTATTTATTTTCTATTATAGGGTAGGGGTTTTATGTCTTCCCTTTGCCTGTTTTATCTCTTTGGGCAGAGTTGTTAATTCCCGTTTCTTCTTTTTGTCAGTAAACACAATATTTCATCCATTTTAAAGTCATATACTCTAGGTTGTTTTCCTTTACCGATGGGATTAATGTTGTAGTTATTGTTGAAGCCCCTAAGCCTGGTCAATCTTTCATACTTGGCTACATGATCTAACAATTCCTGGAAAGTGTTGACTGTAGTTATTGCTAAATAAGGAGCTATTTGGTCGTCAATGTTCTCCATTTGGAGCTCCATAATATGTTTTTCAGTGAGTTATTGCTCACAATTCATGTTGAGGTGTCTCCATCTTATGATGTATTTGGTGAAAGACTCATCTTTTCTTTTTCTCTCGAGAGCAAGGTTTGTAATAGTCACCTTCTTGGTTGCACCGGAAAATCTTTTGATGAACATTGTCTCTACTTCGGCAAATATTTTTACTAAGTCGCTAGGTAACTCAGCATACCATTCAAAAGCGGTATTAAAAAGACTACTAATGAATTGGCGTAATAATAAGGCATCATTTCCCCCGATATTATCACAGGTAGCCTTGAGTTGGGCCAAATATTGCCGAGTGTTTTCAATACCATAAAATATATTAAATTTTGATATAACGTATGCTTTTGGATATTTTGTTTGATCGAATTCTATAAGATATGAACGTCCTGTATCTTGGCAACTTCGGAAGTAATAATTGCCTTCACCTTTTGATTGATAAGATATTTAATCTGCGTCTTCCTGACCATTTCATCTTCTTTAGAAATTGTCAGCATCGGCACTTGTTGTACCTCCAACCCTCTATCAAGAATATCTAGATCAGGATGGATAGCTCAAGTGCTACCAGTATTCAATGTTCAATTGACAACATTCCCTTAGGGTTTTTTTTTTGTGGTCAGCCAGTTGCAGCTGCTAGGCCCAAGCAACCCAAATAATTCTTTCATCATACTGCTCATCTCATCTTGACAAGCATGTAGATGGTTGATTTCTTGATCCTTATTTTGTTGGAGAAACTGCATTTCTTGTTGCAATCTTCTAACAACTTCATATGTTTCTTCCTCTTCAAAATATTCTTGGTAAGAAGGTGTTCAATTCATAAGCGTAGCCTATTCTGGGTTATCTCACAATTATTCTTCATTCTATAAAATTGCAATTGTATTTCAACGAGTATATACCCTTTGGTTAGGTTAATCACGAGTGTCATTGATCATTCAGACAACTTCGACGTTCATGGGATCAATATCTCTTGTACATTCAATTTCATCATAACAATTTTCTTTGTCATTTACTTCAAACTCATTTTCGAGTTGAGTTTGTTGCTTTCAATGAATTATTGTAGAGTCGGGAGATTCATCGTACATAACAACTTTCCCCTTATCTGATGGGCTATGCTTGGCAAGGGACCTCTCATTGGAGAATGACCTTTGATCATGATGTTTGGGCTGTTCATCTTCAGGAAGTTTCGGTTCCTTAGGAACCTATATGCAGGGGTCACTTCTAGTGGTATGATTTCTAAGATTCACAATAGATACTAAGCGATACACAGTACTTGGCCAGGTATACTCCTCTGACTGAACCGACATTGAATAAGGTCGTCGAGGTCTTTGATTGTAACGCATCTGAGCGTAGGCTACCTTAAGAACAATATTCTGATGTTGTCCAGTATCCGGGCCTTTCACTTTGTGATGATGAGAATGACGTTTGACATTGTCCCTGTAATGTTTCTTTGAAACCTTGTCCGTCCCAAGGTTAGCAGAAGTTGGGAAAATGGCCAAATCAATTGACTTCTTCAATCTGATTTATAAACTCTTATTCTTAATAGATGTGGGAAGAAATTGATTCTTCTCGCCTTGTCCGTCCCAAGGTTCGCAGGCTCTTCTCTTAGCAATTGGATTTGCAAAAGGTATTGCCAACAGTCTTGCAAATACAATGACTCTTTTAGGAGTCTTTCCATTGTCAGTTGTAGGTGCTATAATATTTCTAGCAGTGACTTCGTTGGCCAACATAGCTTTGTAATTGTTATCAGCATGAAGGAATCTTATAACCTCGAGGATCTTCCCAAATTGCAATGGCCCCATCATGGTGAGTATTGATGATAGCTTGAGGGAATTGTACTCTAGATCCGTCCAGCAGCTTCATAGTCATTACAATATTGGCAGATGACATGTTTCAGTAACCTATAATAACACTTGCAAGGATTAGAGCTAACCTGAATTTCAAACTATAAATTCTACTGCAAAAACGAACATAAGCTTGACATAAAAGAGCATCTTTTAGATGTCTATAATGTTCAAGATTAAATCATAGTTAATTCAACCAGAGATTCTGGAAGATTAAAATAAAATTAATTCATATAGAGTTGGAGAAATATGTAATCTCCAGCAGAGTTGCCAGAAATCTCTTCGCTTAGGAAAAGAATGGCACTACAGCACGAACTCGGCTTCCTAGGCTTAAGGTTCCATTTATGCTTAAGGTGGATTGAATTTTTAA